AAACCAAAACTCCCTCTCCTGCTTCACTTTTCACAAAAGCCACAAGTGGTAGCTCGAAAAGTGGTAACAGTGGTAGCTTGTTGCAAAATAAGTACTTCTAATTTTCATGATCTTCTGAACCTTCGAATCGTGATGTATTAGCCATTACATTGTCGCCCCCATACTCCTGAAGATTTGAAACATTTGAATTGTACGGCATTCATAAATAACTTGGAATCTAACTGCTACTACTACAAGCAGTGAACACTTTTCCAGTTCCGGCCGACCTTTCGCGGATATCCCGACACTGACTGTATTATCCATAAAACCAGTCTCTAGCAGCTATATTTAAAATTTTAAACATTATTTACTTTTTTTCTTGCAGATGGATGTTTACGAAAATGCAAAATCTGGCCGCAAACATCGTATAAAAACTCCTGAACCATTTCGAGCAAATCGTAGAGATCAGTTGGATCAGAAAGAACGTCTGTTAGAGCTTTTCAGCAGTGAGCAGGAACATGATTTAAGCGTCAAATACTGGGGAAATGTGAAATCACGACGAGAGATCAAAGTCGAGCCTCCTGATGGTACCAGTGGTACTGAAACAACGGAAGAGACAGGAAGTAACAGAAGTCACAAGGCTGCTTCAACTTCTACAACTGACTTTACATTCAATGTTTCAACGTTAAGCAGTCTGACTTCAATATCAAGGAGAAAACGGCTGGTACGTTACTTTTACCAACGTATGGTACTTCTGGTGAGGCTCAAGAGGTGATACTGAAAAAATCGGTATGGTACTCCCATTCTGACAAAACTCTACACACGATTACCGCTCCTCTTTTTCTGGATCTCATATCCTGAACTTTTTACATGCAATTGCCACCAAATGTCAAATCACGTATGCGTGGGATTTTCGTGGAGAATATCGGCGTTCTTTTCCCTTTCGCAAACTGCGGTCGCTTTTCTTTTCAAATAGTTTTTTTTTTCGTCGTGATAAGCACTTTTCTAATTCCCTCTCCCCCTCCTTGAAGGGGGAATCGAGAGCATACTGCTTGCTTTGTTAATGACTGGTAAGCGTCATCCATTAGTGAGTACTACTTGCATTTGTGAGAAAGTAAACGATCACTCGGGCAACCTCCGTGAGGTGGTATGTATACACTGAACATGCGATGGATACTAACAGAAGATACATGATCGAAAACAGAGCCGCGGCCGATGTAGAGAAACGTTCCAGTGACAAGACAGAAATGGAATTACTAACAATGACTGCCCCTCGAGTAGTTTTGGCATTCTTGGTACGGTGCTTTGTAAAAACCCTGGATAAAGAATTATCAAAAACCAAAATTCTTGAAGTTTGAATACTAGCCTGTCCAAGTGTTTCTATCGGGGGAAATCGTTTAGCCTACTTTCAGAATACTACTTTCAGAATTTGAAAAAAATAGAGTGGCCAACAGGCTCAACATAAGTGATGCAGCATTGGTCAAAGCATTTGGTAAATTAAACAAATGTAGCAAACTGCAACTCAGTA